TGAAGAATGGATTGATGAAGTGACGGGGGTCTTTGCTCCTGTTTTTAATTACAGTCATTACATGAGAACATGGCCACCCTCTCCCCTGATACTTCTGGCATGAGCACTCACCAAGTTTTGTCCTGAAATTTACCAAAACTTCATGGTGATGGCCCATGCGTCTACCATCCTCACAGTGTCCGGTCGTCATGCTAAACTCGCCAGTTGCCCGATTCATAACGGTTACACTGTGTCGACTACTCTTTCGATTGTCATGCTCCAGTATTTCTGTGACTTTATTGGCATGGACCTTTCCTTGTGCCTCGTTCGTCCTTGTCCAGTGTAGTCGATTGACGAACCATCCATTCGTTTTCTAGAAAGTCATCTCCACAATGGCAGAGATTTGCAGCGCCCGAACACCCTTATAGGCAGAACTAATACTCTCTGATGAGTTCGTTGTGGCCATACCCCATCTGTTACCTCCGTCTTTATGAAATGTCCACATGGATAGGTCGTGTCCATCCAGCCACTGTGCCCCCTCAGGGCATAACTCGCGCATCTTCTGCAACTTCTCCTGATATTTTTTCTCCTGGTATGCAAAAGCTGAGGTAATCACAATCAAGTATTACGTTAGTAAAAATTCGGCAATTTATTACAATTCAAACAACAAGCAGGTACTCTCGTTAGACTCTTAGGAGAGGTTTACATCTCCTTAGAAACACAGCCTTTTTGACAGAAAAAGGGGGGATCCGAGGATCGCTTAAAACCCGATTTTCCCACGGAATGGGAGGACTATGATAATCGCTTAAAACCTCATTTCCTTAGGCATGCATCTCTTTAGAAAGAGTCTAACAAGTGTACCATTTATTTGATATAAGATATTGTTCTTCTCCAAAATTAAAGCACCGATAGAGAGCTTACCAATCCACCACAAATTATCAGCAAGCTTCTTCCGCTTGAAATGATGGTTCTAGTTGCTCTTGAAGTGTCGTATGCACCACCTTTGGGACCATTTCCAGGCTGGATCCAAACCTAAGATGGCAGCTCTAATCCTGGCGTGGCGATCAGAGATTATTGTCAGGTTTGTCCTCCTAGTGACGTGGAGCTGAATTTGCTGGAAAAACCATCCATAGGTATCAGTATTCTCTCCCTCAACAATGGCGAAGGCTAACGGAAAGACTTGTTTGTTTGCATCCGCCCCACTGTCAATCAATAGAGTGCCATTGTACTTGCCGGTAAGGAATGTACCATCCACTTGGATCATAGGGACACAGAAGCCAAAACCATCAATAGATGGCTTGAATGCCCAAAAAAGTCGTCTGAAATGGCGTTTGTTACCTGGCTCTAGCGGTTGTACCTCTTCATCTTGGTATCGAGGGGAGAAAATAGTGCCAGGGTTAGACGCTTCCAGTGCCAAAATCAACCTGGGAAGGAATGCATATGATTCTTCCCAATCACCATATACCGCGGCCAGAGCTTTCTGCTTTCCATGCCACGCCTTCTTAAAGTTAATCATATAACCATAACGACTTGCAATGTCAGCAATTATGACTTTCACCTTCAGGTCAGGATCTTGCTCAATTAGATGCTTGATAGCCGCAACAACCACCCTGGATTTCAACTGTCGATGGCCTTGGGATGTTATGGAGGACACACATGTGTGTGTGTTCACCGCATGGGATATGACCCAATGGTCGTGTCTCTTGTTGTTGATGGCCCGAATCCTAACATTCCATCCCTCGTTATGATTACGGCATCTGACTATGAGCCTTTTCGTGTTGGAATGAGTTGTGTGCCATTCAAAATGCCGAGTCATTGCTTTAGTATCAATGGCGTGCCGCACCTCCTTCTTCGAGCCAAATTGTTGGTCCTTCATAAACCTAGTGAGTGGACCACATATTGGAACCTCCGGCGGTTCTATGTCGCTGTCGACCATCCAATTGCCTTCTGGAATGTGATTGTAGTAGGGGACTGGTACACGGTCATGAGCCACCTCATCATCATTATTTGAGTCTGACTCTGGTCCTGAATCATCAACACCTTCAAGAGGGTCGGAGCTGTCTGCACTGACGTTGTTCTCTCCTTCTTCATCGGAGGGGTCACTAACTGGTGCTGGCAGGGCATCTTCCATCTGATCCAGCTCATGAAAGGCACCTTCATCAGCTCCATAATAGTAGTTGTGAAAACTACCACTGCCTGATTGGAAGTTGTACTGGGATTGGTTGGCATGGTCCGGTTGAACTTCTTCTTCATATGACGGGTAAGATTGATGATGACCTTCACCTTTCTCTTGGTACTAAAAATAGGAATGAGGATCATGGTAACTTTGGTAGGGATGATCTCCATATAGTTCACCTCCACCATGGATACCAGATGTTTGACAGTCTCCAGAATGACCTCCAACACCTACGACCGGCTCGGTGTAAACGAACATCTCGGCTCTGGAGAGATTGTTGGACCTCAAGAATTCGAGCATGGAATCTACCTCATCCTGAGTGGTTATGAGATATTCCTTGTGCCACAACGACCCGCCTTCTCTGTTTGGATATCGGTACACCATACGATCAACTCTTCTCGTGCCATCCATGCAAGTAACGTTAGTACACATTTGATAGAGGTCTTCAAGCATTGGTCTGGTAGCGACCTTTATTTTCTGAAAATTGCCACCGACGTAGGTGACCCCCTTTCCGCTCTCTTCCGTGTAACCATTCCACCATAAACCAAGCGTGAAGTTTTGGAATGCCATATGCAAAAAAACAATAGTTCAACTAATATCATAAAAATCACAAATCACAATTCACAATAAAAAGTAATACAAAATAAACTTACGAGTTAACGTTAACCGCAAAAACACTAGAGAAATAGGGAGCTACAATAGAAAATTGAAAAGGGAGAGGTGTGAAGAGAAAAAGATTTCCCGGGCTGCCTTTTAAAGGCAAAATCATCAATGAAAACCGCACCTTAGAGGTGCGTTTTTCATCTGCCATGCAGCCCCATGTCTGTCAATCTGCATGGCTGCATGTCTTGTGTCGGAAAATAATTGACACACAAACCACATTGGAGGGTGCGGTTTGTGTTGCCAAAACCGCACCTTGAGGGTGCGGTTTGTTTTGGAGAAGCAAAACCGCACCCCCAAAATGTGGTTTTGCTAGGTCAGGCCTAGACCGCATCTGGGCCATGCGGTTTGGTTAGGTCAGACCGCAAACCGCATGGCCAAGTTGCGGTTTTGGCCCAGAAAAGTAAAACGCACCCCCAAGGTGCGGTTTAATGACAAAACGCACCAGGGGGTGCGGTTTACATGCAAAACGCACCTGGAGGGGTGCGGTTTTTAAAAAAGGGTGCTATTTTTATAATTTCTACGGAATGGGTGCTATTTTTGTAAAAAAAAAATTAAAGGTGCTATTTCTGGAAAAATCCCATCAATTTATTTCCCCACATTGTTCACTCCTTCCACCAGAGAGCTGCGACAGAAAGGATAAGCTGCTAGAAAATTGAAGTTGCGATGAAGAGCAAAGGACATTGATGGTTCAGTTGGAGTTCTATCATCGTCGACCTCCAACGGAGAATTGGAACGATACCTTGACGAGAAGAGGTTGATCGAAAAACTCGCCTACCTTCTCGTTGCCTCTACAGGTGGGGATTCAACTAGGGAGGACTTGTGCAAAAAGCCTTTCGTGAGGTAGGATGAGGAAAGAAGGAAAGATAAGAAAAACAGGAGGCAGAGAGTAAAAAAAATATATATAATATAATGGGTGATAAGATCTTATTAGTTTTTTAAGTTATAAATTTTATATTCTTAAATCCACGATGAAAACAACTCAACAAACAAAATATTACTTCTAATTCATCATGCTCGGACTCCAAATCTTTAATAAATCTTTAGGTTTATAATTCACGAGAATAGGCAAACAATCATTTTAAAATCAATGAAGTAAACGACCCTAATGGAACGAAAAACCATTTTTGTATACCCACCACAAGTATAGTCGTTGAGGCCCAGTATAGTCTTATGTGGGCTTATGCTTGGTGGATGGCGCTGAAGATGGGCCTTGCTGAGCCCAATTTAAAACCCGAATGTACCTGTTGCCATACCAATTACGGAGGTCGCCGTTGGATAATTTTGGGTTGGAAACTTTGGTTACGGGTTGGGTCATGTTTGGTTGGCTTATTTTGGGTCAAATATTGACCCAACCCATTCCGTTTCGGGTGGGGTTATAGGTCATTTCGGGTTATGAGCGTTCTCAGAAACAATATCAAACATGCTTCATATTTTCTTAAAGAACACAAATTTTCACATATGAATGACAATAGTTTACCTAACACATGTCAATTAACATATTCTCAAATCCTCCCACGCTAATGAAATGAAATATAAATTGCGCAAATCGTCAAAAAACAATCACAAGAGTAATACTACTACAAGAAACACATGATATTTGATTATCCTTAAACTCCAAACATGTCATTCAAATCCTTTTGATTTTTTTTAAACATCTCACGAATTTATGAGTGATTTATCATATTTTGGGAGTAATATATTAAATGGAACGGGTCTAACGGGTCGACTCGCTAACCCACCCAACCTAATCGAAAAAATCACGGATTATCGAGTTCGAATCATTCGAATTTTGGGTTACAAAAATTTATAGTTTTTGGACGGTTTCGGGTCGGATCAATGGGTCAGGTTGTAATTTGCCAGGTGACTTAAGGAGACAACTCAACAAGGCATTTTCTTAACGATGTTTACGGTAGCATTTAACTTTTTCTTAATCACTTTCTATTTCAAGGCCGCAATCGTGCTTGGGAAGCTGTTTGACCTTTTTATTAATTTTCCTTTCCAGGAGCTTCAATTCAAAGCTTGTTGGGTAAGCTGTTTTTACGAAAATAAAAAAATTAATGGACGTGTGCATAGATAGAGAGACGGGACCCGGTGGAAGTCTTACGTGGCATTTGTTTTCCCGCCGTTTGCCCTCCATTCCATATAAAGGGTTTCCCGCCGCCCAATCTACCACTAGCAAACACCAACCCCAGTCCCCACCCACCCTCTACCCCGCCACTTCACACTGCGTTTATAGCGAGCACCTCCACCGGCGCACTCTCCCAAGCGTTACCTCTCCCCACCGCTCTCTCCAGATCCCACACCGTCGTTTCAGTTTACCCCCGGCGGAATCGAATTCGATTCCCCGACGATAAGACTCGCCAAGGGAAGAAGGACAAAATCCCTTTCTGATTTTTGCAATCCCTAAGATCGGAAACCTAGCATTTCTCCGGCGGCAATGGAACTCCGGTCACGTAAAATCACCTCCAAGCCTCCGACCGACGGTGAGATTTCTCGCCTCTGCGCTCAGCTTTCTCCATTTTGTGTTTGGTTTGTGTTGTTTGTTTGGGAATGGCGAGTGTATGTTCCGCGGGGAAATGGAGGAGGTTTAGATGTCTTCTCTTAGGTTTTGTCTCGCTCGTTGCGTTTACACTGTTACTAGTTTTTGATTGTTGCGGAATTAGGGATTTCGATAATCAAATCGGAAGGTTAGACGCTTTAGAATTTTGATTTGACTTGATTGCGCATTCTTGCGATTTCAATATTACGGTTGATGATGTGTTTTTTGGAAATTATTGGCCATTTTGCTGTATGGGGAATGCTTTAGAAATCAAGGAGTTGGACAGTTAATTAGTGTTGACTTCTGTTTCTTCTACCTAACTGGAATCAGGTTACGAGGACCGCGAGGGTACTTCATCAGGAGAAGCTGATGTTGATCATTTGTTCGACGATGCTGGCTCGGATGAGGAGATCTATGTGCCACCTTCAGATTCTGATTATAATAGTTCTGATAGTGAAGGTATTCTATTATATATATGGTCCTTACAGCAACGATCATTTCATGCTATCAATATTGCTTTGTTAAATTGGAATGTCTTACATGGGGAGAGATGATTGTAGGTGGGATGCCCATGGATGCTGACTTCTCGCCCTTTTCAAAGGGCAAAGCGAAAGGCAAGTTGCACATTCCTGCTGGCCAGGGGGATGCTCCTTCTGGCAATCCTTCTGCTGCTCATAACGATAATCCAGATCCTCCTGCTGCTCATATCGATAATCCAGATCCTTCTGAAGAGCCTGCCAATGAACTTATAACATCTCTGACTTTGGCCACAACTCAAGCTGATGCTGCTGGGGCAAGAAAGAGGAAACACAAATCAGGGAGGAAGAAGGACAAAGATAGTTCAGAGCCTCCTCTACTGTGGGAAGTTTGGGAGGAAGAACACGAGAAATGGCTTGATGAAAACTGTGTTGAAGATGTGGATTTAGATCAGCAGAATGGTTTTGTAGTTGAAGCTGCTGAGGCACCATCAGAATTGGTTATGCCTTTGTTAAGGTACCAGAAGGAGTGGTTGGCATGGGCTTCAAAACAGGAAGAATCTTCAACTAGAGGGGGAATTCTTGCTGATGAGATGGGTATGGGGAAGACTATTCAGGCGATTTCCCTTGTACTTGCCCGAAGAGAGATGCACAGGAAAGTTTGTGAATTCGGAACATCGACATCTGGTTCTAGCACTGGTTCGTCATCTGGAATAAAAACTACCCTCGTTGTCTGTCCTGTGGTTGCTGTGACTCAGTGGGTGAGTGAAATTGACCGTTTTACTAAGAAAGGAAGTGCCAAGGTACTGGTTTATCATGGTGCAAATAGAGGGAAAGACTCGAAGCACTTTGCAGATTATGACTTCGTTATTACCACATACAGTATTGTTGAGGCTGAATTCAGAAAGTATATGATGCCACCTAAGAAACAATGCAGTTACTGTGGGAAATCATTTCATGAAAAGAAATTGTGGATTCATCTTAAATATTTCTGTGGTCCAGATGCCATCAGAACTGCAAAGCAGTCTAAGCAAGTCAAGAAAAAATTTAAATCTCAACTGGGAAAAGACCAGCAAGACCAGCAGGAAACTGATGTGGATATTCAAAAGGGTGAATCATCTCCAGGTTATAAAAGAAAAGGGGGTTGGAGGAAATCAACAGGGAATAGTGGTGATAGTGAATTAGGGTATTCGGAATTTGAGCTAGCCTTGAGGAAGAAAAGCTCAGTCCTGCACTCTGTCAACTGGCAGCGTATAATATTGGATGAGGTCAGTTGGCAATGGCGGTAGTAGCTCTCATTTGAACTTGCTAATGTCTAGGTTGAGAGTTTTTCCTTACTTCCTGGTTTCTTGAATGATTACTGTTAGCTTCAATCCAATGTGATTTGTGATTCTATTTGAGTTGGTTTCTGTGTATATGTTGAAGATCATTTGTAGGTCAATTCTTTTGTATTGCTTATCTTTCTGGTCTGTCTGTTTAGCAAATGGTATCTACTGTTTCTTATCTTTGTGCTGTTTCCCTTGTAACTGTATTTGATTTTCCTTCTGTTCGTAGTTAAGGTGCCTTTCTTTTCCCCCCATTTGTATATTTTCTTATTCTTCCTTTTTTTTTGTTCATCTCACTATTATTGTTCTGAGGTAATGTCAACTAAATATTTGTGTCAAGCTTCTGGCCTTCTAACAGAGGTCCATTTTTCCTTGTTTTTTCCGTTCATAATAAAAACAGGCACATTTCATAAAAGACAGACGTTGCAATACTGCCAAGGCCATTTTTGCTTTAGACTCTTCGTTTAAGTGGGCTTTGAGTGGTACCCCCCTCCAGAACCGCGTTGGAGAGCTTTACTCTTTGGTGAGTTGGTACTTTGTGGAAATTTTACTTTGACCATCCTTTCTAGCTAAATACAACTTATGTTTATTGCATTTCTTGATCTCAGGTGCGGTTCCTCCAGATTGTACCATATTCATATTACTTGTGCAAGGACTGTGACTGCAGAATTCTTGATTATGGGTATGCCTCCTGACTTAATGATGTTTTACAATTTCTTACATTATTGGTTGATTTTATGAGTTAAAGAAAAACCGGCACTGCAATAATCTTGCTATTGTCCTTGCACTTATGATGTAGATTCACTGCCTTGAATCCTATATACCATGTGCACAGAAATAAATTATTTTCAATCACTGACAATGATACTGGCTTTGTGAACCAACAAGGCATCCACAGTTAACCTTCATCTTCTTTGCAGATCATCAACTCGATGCTCTAGTTGTGCTCACAGTTCTGTGAGGCATTTCTGTTGGTGGAATAAAGTGAGTTTTTCATATTTATATGCTCAGTCTCATCATATTTTCTAGCCCTCCTCCCCTAACTTGTTCTTGTTGTGTTATTCTTCATTAGAACATTTCTAACCCAATACAATCCTATGGGAATCTTGATACTGGGAGAAGAGCTATGATATTGCTGAAACATAAAGTTCTGAAGAACATAGTGCTAAGGCGGACCAAAAAAGGGCGAGCTGCTGATCTTGCTCTTCCTCCTAGGATCGTAAGTTTTCCTGCGATGGGGTTAACTTAACCACTCTCTCGCCAAGACTTATAAATTATTAAATATGTATCATATTGTTGCCACTGCTTTCCAGGTTAAATTGAGGCGAGATACCCTGGACGTTAAGGAAGAAGATTATTATGAGTCGTTATACAATGAGAGTCAGGCACAGTTTAATACGTATGATTCTGTTTCTTTTTCTTGCTTTCTTAGGATGCATTTTCCTTTTCTTTTTGTGGTTCCATTCTACCGAATATAATTGTTTTGGTGAATACAAATAGTAACAGCTCTCGTTTTCTTTCATAGCTATATCAAGGCTGGAACTGTGATGAATAACTATGCTCATATATTCGACCTCCTCACCCGCTTGCGCCAGGTAATTTGCAGTACTAGGTTATCATATTAGTTCACTTGATTATCTTAAGTTGCTAAATTGATAGAAACCAAAAACTATTAAATTTTGCTGCTTGCCAAGTATCTTGGTAACTAATTCTTGGAGTATCTGTGCAAACTACAGGCAGTTGATCATCCATACCTTGTGGTATACTCCGCAACAGCAGCACAAAGAAATGCAAACACACTGGATACTAATGATACTGAACAAGTTTGTGAAATTTGTCACGATCCGGCAGAAGATCCTGTGGTGAGCTAGCCATGCATAGTCGTGCCATGTCTTGTGCATGCAGAACTTATAGATCATCAAGCTTGCTTTACTTTGTTTATATATATTTTTTATTTATTTCAGGTCAGCTCCTGCGAACACATCTTCTGCAAGGCATGCTTGCTCGATTTCTCTGCTTCCTTAGGACAAGTCTCCTGTCCCAATTGCTCGAAACTGCTGACTATTGACTTCAGCACAAAGGCTGATGGTGGTGCGTCGCAGCCCCGAAAAACTACATCTGTCAAGGGTTTCAGATCTGCTAGTATCCTCAACAGAATACAGTTGAACGATTTCCAGACCAGCACCAAGATAGAGGCTTTGGTATGTGTTAAGCTGTTGTACTAAATGTGCATTATCTTTTGCCTCTTTTGTTGAGAAAGTAAACCGATTCTCCTCCTCCCAAAATGTATGTCTCCAGAGGGAAGAAATTAGAGATATGGTTGAAAGGGACGGTTCAGCTAAAGGAATTGTTTTCAGCCAGTTCACTTCATTTTTGGATCTCATACACTACTCCCTCATCAAGGTAAATATATTGCATCTATTTCCTTTGCGATAAGACAAAGAGGACATTGCCTAAGAAGTGTCAATTGTTAAATACCATATGTAGTCTGGGGTGAATTGCGTTCAGCTAGTGGGAAGCATGACCCTATCACAAAGGGATGCAGCTATCAAGAAATTTACTGATGATCCAGACTGCAAGATTTTCCTCATGAGTCTGAAAGCTGGAGGCGTTGCCCTCAATCTAACAGTAGCATCCAATGTAAGTGGCTTCCGTTCTAGCCTGAGCCACCTCCTCAACAAGCTTTCGACACCTATGGTTGCAGCTCTTTTTTTGTTCTTCAGTGTTTGTGCTTGTTCATGGCTGATTGCAAGAAAGAAACGTGTAGGTTTTCTTGATGGACCCTTGGTGGAATCCAGCCGTGGAGCGGCAGGCGCAGGATAGAATCCACCGTATTGGACAGTATAAACCTATCAGGATCGTGAGATTTATCATCGAGAATACAGTTGAGGAGAGGATTCTGCAGCTGCAAGAGAAGAAGGAATTGGTCTTTGAGGGGTGAGATTTTTCCAATATCTTTCTCTATTGGGCTGCACTCCACCATTTCTCCCATTACCTTGCCTTGCAAATACTATAGGGTTAACGAAGTCTTTTTATTCGCAGGACGGTCGGTGGTTCGTCGGAAGCCCTTGGGAAGTTGACAGAGGCAGATTTAAGGTTTCTGTTCGTAAATTAACTTCCCGCATTGTGAACGTAGCATGAAAGACTAACAGGGGAGCAAGGGGTGACCTCTGCTTTTGCCTTTGCAAGGGCCTTTAGTTTACGGCTTCTATTTTCAGCCCATATTTTGTGGTCAGGGTAGAATTTGCTGTCTGCCTTTACCCCGCCCCTAGGTATTCTCTGTTACGTTATAGTTAAAGCATTTTGATAAACTGTCTGCTGATAGAAATCGAGAACTTCAGATCTGAAATCAAACTAGCTTATTAACTATGTTAAGCAGTACATTGAAATGATAAGGACTAGGATGCGCCGTTTTAGATGAAGTGTTTATTGTTCAGCACTTAGTTGCATCTTCTGTTGAACTCTGCCGAAGATGAATGGGAATGACCTTGTTCTTGGAGGACATCTAAATTCTAATACTGACGGACATGACTATTACTAGCTTACTCATGTTTGTAACATCCAACAATGCAATTCGAAGTTCCTTCTCTCATGTACTCCCAGCTTCTGAAAGCACGTTCTCATGAAAAGTATGTGAATATAATTTGTGAGAACGAGTTTAGAATAGTTGAGAGTCGTTAGATCAGTTGCGCGTTTCATGATTGTTAAATGACATTTTTTTTTAAATTAAGATATTGGGACCTCCTACAGTAACTTGGGTGTAATTTCAAGTTAGGTAACTTCTATAGATCTAGACCATTAAAATCAGTTAAATTCATCCTATGCCGTTGATTAAGGAAAAAAAAAAGAAATAGGCAAAACACCGGCACTGCCCGTTATTACTTTCCCAGTTTTCCATTACCTTTCTTATTTGTTTTCTTTTTTAACTTGCCGGCTCCTTTTATTTTTTAAGTTAGCTGCTCCAGCTTAATTTATTTATTTTTTGCCAAAGTGCTCCAGCTTGATCTTATCATTGCATATATTTTAAATTCTTTTTTTATTTTATCTTTTCATAATTTTGGATGATATTTTATTAAAAATTATTGCGTAAGAATTTCGTAATTATTTAAATACTTTACGATGTTAATATCATTACATAAAATAAAACTTCATTATGTAAAATATAAGTAATAATATTTTACAACTGTTATATAAAATAAAATTCATTATATGAGACTTATTAACATTTTACAACTGTTACGTAAAACACACATCCATTGCGTAAGGTTTCCGTAATGACAGTTATTTCTGACCTAACAGTTAAATCAAAAGTGTTACGTAAGGCTTCCGTAATGACTTCACACTTTACGTAACGCAAGATTAATATTCATTGCGTAAAAGCACCCTCAATTACGTAAGGCTTCCGTAATTACTTCGCACTTTACGTAACGCAAGGTTAATATTCATTACGTAAAAGAAATCTCAATTATGTAAGGCTTCCGTAATGATAGTTATTTCTTACGTAATAGTTAAATCAAAAGCGTTACGTAAGGCTTCCGTAATGACTTCACACTTTACGTAACACAAGGTTAATATTCATTACGTAAAAGCACCCTCAATTACGTAAGGCTTCCGTAATGACTTCACACTTTACGTAACGCAAGGTTAATATTCATTACGTAAAAGAAGCCTCAATTACGTAAGGCTTTCGTAATGACATGTTACAACTATTACGTAAAATACACATCTATTACGTAAGGCTTCCGTAATGCCTTAACACTTTACGTAATGCAAGGTTAATATCCATTACGTAAAAGAAGTCTCAATTACGTAAGGCTTTCGTAATGAAAGTTATTTCTTACGTAACAGTTAAATTAGAAGCATTACGTAAGACTTCCGTAATGACTTATCACTTTACGTAACGCGAGGTAAATATTCATTACGTAAAAGAACCCTCTATTACGTAAGGCTTCCGTAATGAGATTTTATAACTGTTACGTAAGATACACATACGTTACGTAATTGTTCCGTAATGCCTATTGTATTTTACGTAATGCAACCTGTGAAACCTGCTATAGCAGGTAAAAAAAATTAAGTTACCTTGCTTCAAGGCATTGTAGGAATTCCCTAAGATATTATGGTATCCATTAAGTGGTTAGATACATTTAGATATTAATTCGTGACTCCAAATCCGCTGAGTACGTTTTCACAAAAGGGCTGAGCACCATGACTTGATTAGACTATGGTAGAAGAAATCAAGAATTATAAAAATGTATTGGATGCAAGGTTGTCAAACCGGTTTATGCCAGTGTGCCGGTTTAGCAAGTGGAATGGTTCAACCGGTGGCACATACCGGTTTGTGCCAGTTCATGCCGGTCAATATTACAAATAAAATTATAAATACTCATATTTAAACATGACATTTAACGTCAATACCTAACATTTATACTTGAATCCAACAAATAACATCAATATTTAACTTTTATACTCATAAACTAAGTAATAAAATAATTTTTATCAATTAAATTCTCTAAAATAAGGTCATTTTACTTAGAGATTCGTATATCGATCATGCCGGTCGTACCGGTGGTGTCATACCGGTTTTATGAATGGTACCGGTTGAACCCGGTACAACCGGTGGCACGCCGGCCGGCGTGACAACCATAATTGGATGTTGTACTAACTCATATAATGGTAATGTATTTTGTATTGAAATTGTGGTTCGACCATTATAAACTGTCCACCGATAAAGCATTTTTACAATCTAATCGCGGATATGGTACAATATGGTTTCACAATCTTATGGTTAGACTTGAAAAGTACAAGGAAAATGGAAAGAGCTGAAAGTTGCATATCCTTGCCGACAGGGGACCATTGCCGTTAACACGGAGACTACAGCATAAGGTACACGCGGCACCATCCTAGCTGCGCACCCATTTAAAGTTTGTTGTTTCCGAGACTCACCATACCGCATTGATCGTAAAAGCTGGGTTCTCTCCTCTCTTTCTCCTTCTTCGCCGATCTCTCTCCATCTCTGTGTGACTGTTCAACGTCGGTCTGCATCTCATTCTCCATTCTGCACTGGTTCTACTTTTCTTTTTTCATTGGGAGAGATGATACAGCTTCTGTACGGGGTGATCTTCGCCGAGATGGCTCTGATCCTGACGCTGCTGTTCAAGACGCCGCTGAGGAAGCTCGTGATCATGGCTTTGGATCGGCTCAAGCGAGGAAGGGGCCCCGTGATGGTGAAGACCGTCGCCGGGACGATCTTCATCGTCCTGTTGTCGAGCCTCTACAGCATGGTTAAGATTCAGAATCGATCCATCGAGGCTGGTGCTCCCAATCCTACCGACCAGGTTCTGATGTCCAGGCACCTGCTTGAGGCCTCTCTTATGGGTAAACCTCTCGTTTCTCTCTTTCCTCTGGAGCCAATTACCATCTTGGTCATCTTCGCTGATTTCTTCTCGTCAATTCAGTTCTCTCGGGTTCATTGATTCTGTTTCCATTTTTACAATTGTTTGCTTTGGGTGAATGCGGTCATTTATCGAACCGGTTATTAGCCTGTTAATGATAGTTATTTGAAAGATGCGTAAGGGGATTTGAGAACTGATGAAATTGAGATGAATTTGAGGGCGAGTGAGAACCGAGAAGAGAACATTGAGCACTGGGTAGTCTTTGTTTCTGTTGGTCATTCCTCCCTTTAATGTTTGCCTACTGAAGCAGGAGATGAGGGGATGTTTTATTGCTAGGCATTTTTGTTTCGGATTGCTGGTGGAGGTAGCAAACTAGCGATTGGTTGTTTTGATGGTATTCAACTTTTGAGCAAGGATCCTCAATTACGAGTGAGTTTGTGGCGCCTAGTTTCATTTGGATATCTCCAATTGATATGTTCTGTGGCTTCTGTCAATAACTGTGTTCTTCAAGGAACTAAGGACATTAGCTTGTAGGAAGTGCAGCAAGATGCTTAACTTATTTTCCTGGAAAAGGGAACTTCCATTTATGTGGATGTGGTGTGGTATATGTTTGTTCCTTTCTTCACTTTTTTTCCTTAGGGACCGTGTTCAAGAAGACGCGATTAATCTCTCGCCTAGGCGCGATTAATAGCTGGGCAGGAGGAAATTGCTCCGTCTAGCCCTGGGCGATTGATCTAGGCACCTAGGCACTAGGAGGCGAGTTTTCACTCTGGTGGGCGACGTCCAAAACAACTAATAAAGAGGGAAACTGTAGTCTTTTTGTGAAAATCCCAAACCCTATTCTATTTCCCATTTCCATTCGACCAATCGCTCCCCCTCATCGACCAGCAGTGAGATCCCTCCTCATGGTTGGCGACTTGGGATGTTTGGGATTGTGGAAAATGGTTGTATGTGTATATGAATGGATGAATAATGATATGGTGACTTGGATTTTTGTAGAATATGGCTTATCTATAATTTTTTTTTTCAACGTTTAATCTCGTCTAGGCAACGACTAATCGGCCTGGGCGCTGGGCGGTGCCTCTTCGCCTAGATAGCGCCTAGCGTCTTCTTGAACATTGCTTAGGGAGGAGGGTTTGATTACTTTAGTGTTAATGTCTTCCTATCTTCAGCAGTCATTAGGGTTTTGGTTGGGTATGTGATGTTGACATATAGGATCCGATCTTTTGTATGCCATTTTCTTCCTGGATGTCTTAATTCCCCAGAGAGCTCATTTTTCATCCTATGGTTTAGCTCGGGGGGAACTTTCAGCCAATCCATGCTATGCTTAGTATACCCCTCATGGCCATGGATTTTCCATTATGATTCACGTCCATGTTGCACATTAGGAGAAGTAGGCATTACTAACTACATGTTCCATATGATTCAGTGGATGAATAATGTTCTCTGGCAGTTTTGAGTTCCAAAGCAATTAACTTCTTCCATTCCCGTGCAGGATTTCTGCTGTTCCTTGCACTGATGATCGACAGGCTGCACCACTACATCAGGGAGCTTCGTCAACTGAGAAAGACAATGGAAGCTGCCAAGAAGCAGACCCGAGGCCTGGATGACAGTAAGTTTGGCACCAACACGGAGGAGGCTAAAGCACTTGGCGAAGAGGTTGCTACTCTGCGCAGTAAGGTAAAGAAGCTCGAGGCCGAATGTGAGGCCAAAACAAAAGCGGCGAAAGCTGCTGAAGAGGAAGCCGAGACTATTAGGAAGCAGTCCGAAGGGTCCCGTGTAGAGTATGGTCGACTGCAAGAAGACAACCAAAGCCTTCGTAGCCAGATTGAGTCGATAGAATCTGAGGGCAAGAAGGATATGTAACTCATGACATAAAAAGGAGAACTTTGTTACCATGTTTGGTTGTCGTTCTATACATATATCTTGAATAGGTTGTTAGGAACATTGAAGGACTAGATGGTTTCACTTGTTGAAGGTATTACATCATTTTCCCTTGTTCCAGTGCACAAAGATTGTGAAACCAATGGAAGGTTAATATGAACAAATGGGTTGGTGTAAAATTTTTGTTCGAAATAGGAACTGCTTAATGCCGAGTTTGAGTCAAATCGAGGTTTGAGTACCCCATGGACAGTAATTTTGGTATCCGAGGTTTCGTTATTGTTTTAACTTATGGCGCTTGGTTGCTGTAATTTTCTGGGTTCTTGAAACATCCAAGCAAAAGGTTGTTTCTTTTTAAAAAAAAAACGAAAAGCCAATCTATTCCACCACCCAACTTCCAGCATACAACCAGACCAGAAAACAACCCTACCAAAACAAATAAAAGGTTACAACAAAAGGGGAAGACGAAATCTCCAAATAACAAATTCACTAACTACTTTCATACTGTCATCCCACAAACATCTAGTATGAAAACAGAGAGATCTGGTAGCCACAGCTGCAGCAATCTCTGCATTTCGAGCAAACTTCCACTCCAATAGCTCTTTCATCTTCAAAATCAATTCTGGAATCAAAAGCATCTTCTTCCCACATTATCTTCGGCAACTCTTCCTCCGTGCCTCCCTCACCACCAAAGCCCAAAGCAATCTTCGTACTTCACAGCTCCTAAATATGTGAACAGACTACAGAGCTCTGCTCAACCTCCAACAGGAACAAAAGCCCAATTTGAAGGGGAAACCACTGTACAAGTTGCAGAAAATGCGACAAAATAAAATTATGATCCCTCGATTCATGGCAAGACAAAGGAAACTGGGATCTCATATCAATCTCAACAATCCATATCACAAGCTTATTTAGTCTGCTATCCTGCACAACTGGATGACCCATGTCAATAAAGACTTTTGAATGATGGTTCCAAAACAAGTTGAGACCAAGGGAGGACAAAGTCCGTTTTCGGCAATAAACTCTTCCATACTTTCTTTACTGAGAAAGTTGACATTAACACTCAGTCCTACTGAACCCCATGCTAGGACTTTTGAATAGAACCAGCTGCCAATTGCTTTGGTTTCAGAACTTAATTCCAAGCCAAAGATCCCGTAGTTTTGACCTCCCAAATGATTGAGAATGTAACCAATACTTTCTTAACCAAGCTATCCAAAGGGACTCTCTGCAGAACCGGCCAGATATGGCGCGACAGGCAACAAGTATTCCAACTTCTCAAGCCTTTAAATCCTTAACCACCCTCCTCCGGGAAAGAAACCAACTCCCAACGAATCCCATCTCTTTTCTTCTTAGACCCCGAAATCCATAAGAAATCCGAAAAAAGACGCTTTCTTCCCTAACAATCTTAAATTGAAGTGGAAAGATGTCCAATACTGTGTTACCATCCAAAACTGGAGTAATAAGCTGCAACTTGACAGAACAGGAGAGCAACTTTGGCTGGCAGCCCTGAAAAGAGTTGGTACGAATCTCTTCGGATGCATCATACATCTGAAAGTTTCCTTTATACCCCTTGGGGTTTTGGTGATATGCATTTAACAAGATTTCTTGATCGGCAATCCTAACCCTCTGGGTGGGTTAAAGAGTAAGCCAGTAAGAACTCTATCAGCAGATTCAGATATGATTAGTTATCAATCAAGAAATTTAGGGCAGTTTCCCTGAATTTTAACGACGACAATTTAACAACGCGAAAAAATCACGAGAACTGCCCTTGAATATCAACTCTAGGCCGGGTGAAATTGGGCTCTCATACGCAAAATAGTGAGATCCCATTTGGATCGGCCGTCAAACAAACAACCACGACTGCAAATCAAAGCAAAAAAGAAAGCATTTCGGATTCAGATGCGAGGAAATAAAGATGGAGTGAATGTACGAGTCCTTTCAACTACGATTCTGAGGAAGGAGAAGCCTCAAAATCATGAGAAGGAAAGGAGTAATAGAGAACGTCTCCATGATTTACGCCCGCAACGGAACAGAGACGGCATAGAAAGAGCTCGCTCCGTTCTCTCAAAGGCGATGATAAACTGGAAACCCTAGCAGGAATTATTTATACTAAACGGCCGTGGACAAGTTCCTATCCTGACCCCCAATTTTTCAAATCCAACAATCATTTTCGTCCAATAATTTGCTTTAGGGTTTATTTGGGGCGCAAGGCCTGCTTCCGTTTGGGCTTAAAGCCCATACGCGTAACACGTATAGGTGAAGGGGAGGGGGAACGGCGATTTGCAGGGAGAGGTAGAGAGAGAACCAGGGACAATAGTTGTGGGGGATGGGATTAGTTGGTATAGGGTTAGCATCATACTAACTAAACTAGTGTGGCCCCGGCCAGGTGGCCGGAGGAAGGTGAGGTATGAAATTTGATAATGTAATGGGGTGTATAGCTTATTGTTGTATAGTTTTTTTTGGGAAACACATGATAAAAATAGTGAATTTTAGCAGGAAAGATACATGAATGATGCACCGAATAAAAAATCGGTCTTATGAACCAAAATCAAGTACCTGTTACCTTGTGAAACAATATTGTTTCTGGTAATATGATGAGGTGGAGTAAGTTTTATAGAAACCGAATTCCAGAAAATCGAATAAAAAATCGCCTATCCCGTCAGTTTTCGGGAAATGAGCATCTCACAATCGTTGCTAGCTTTTACTCGGCCCGTTGGCAGATTAATTTGCTTTATAAAACTTTCATCTTATCGTCATTGTGCTTTCTGGTTTTTGTCAGGCCATGATAAAATCTAAAAAAACCAAGAACGAACAACACGATTTGGGATAGGAACCGCCGTTGTCGTATCCCTAGAAAATGATGGTAAACACGGACTCACCTGCCAAACTAGTTTGGATTGAGATTTTTATCGGGTATCAGGGAACCATGTGATTATAAATTAGACTTGATCAAAATGGGCCAAAACTTGAAATTCAGACTGTTTGACCGACCCATGCCCAATTCTAATTATTCTTTACTTTTAAACTTTCTATTTGAAAATAAAAAATAGTGGAAGAAAAGAGACGACTGCAATTCGCCATTTGCACATCACTTATTCGGGAATAAAACCATAGAAATTCAAAAGAAACTGAAAATGTTTAGGATCGCTTTAATGTTTAAAATAACCAAATAGATCTTTCTATTTAGTTTTTTACTAATAAATATTAAATAATTCCCCATAAAATACACTATAATTTGATCATTATGATATCAAATAATAATATATATATTTGAAATGATAAAAATTGGACTAATTAGGTTGGTTGAAGTTGAACCATTGAATAACTTTAAAATACATTATATTCCATCCCCTCACATCTTTCGTCTGCATCGACAAAGCCATATTATCTCATCTTCCTAAGTCCTAACTGCCCTCAGATTTTCCCCAAAAGAACTTTAGCACCCCTAATGGTTTTCATATTCAGCAATGGGGGAGGCCGTATGAATTTGGCCAGATCTGTGAATTTTGTCCAAATGTGTCGGTTTATTATTTGATTCGTAGTAATTGTGTTGTAGTGTTTTTTTTTACATATTAGTAGTGTTTTTTTAACTTAATAAGAAATTATATTTGTTAACTATTAATAACGTTTTGTATAATTATAGTATTAATTTGATCATGATTTTTGGAACTGTACTTACAAAAAAATCATCAAATTCTACTAATTAAAAAATACAACCAATTAAAAAATGCTACGAATCACAACAAAATCACTACAATCAGTCATAAAATCACTACAACATCTTTTCTCAAACACTACTAATTTAAGTAGGGTTAATACCTTATTTTGGCCCGAACTATGACCATATAATCAACTTTGGCACGTGGTTTCAGAAATTAACATCCTGGCCTCAACTATGCAGCATATAGACTAAATTGGCCCGTCACATGCTTTGACCGTCAATTTGGACGGTCAACATCATTGACAGTTAGTCAACACGCCATGTCATTGCCTAGTCAGCCTAAAAATCATTAAAACATTGAAATTCAAATTATTTTTCTAATTATTATTATTTATCCTATGAAACTAACTAAAAAAAAATATAAAAAAATTTGTATGTTTTATCTTTTGGTACATTTAAAAATGGTAAATTAAAAAAAATAATATATATATATATTTTTGGTTAATTTAAAAAATCTATAATAATTTGATAATTTATACAAAATTTCATTTTAAAATTATAATAATTTATATATTTTTGGTTAATTTAAAACATCTATAACATCTATTATTATTTATCCTTTAATGTTTTTTAGACAATGACATGGGGTGTTGACTAACGGTCAATGATGTTGACCATCCAAATTGACGGTCAAAGCATGTGTCGGCCAAATTTAGTCTATATGCTGCATAGTTGAGGTCAGGATGTTAATTTCTGAAACCACTTGCAAAGGTTGATTATATGGTCATAGTTCGGGCTAAAATAAGGTATTAACCCATTTAAGTAGTAGTAGTTTTTTAAAAGTAATAGTAGTTTTTAATAGTATTTTTAAAAATGGTTCTTAGTAAGCGAGGAGAGAGATATTTTTAAATTTAATTTATTTATTAAATTTAATGTTCTAAAATACCAAATAAGCCCCTCTTTATTCCCCACCGTCATATTTAATTTAAATGTAATGAATGGTGATGAGAGTAATTAGCATGGTGCTATTTCCTATAGAGTTAGCACTCTAACTTGTCCCTGGTTGTGAGCGTTTGCATTAGTGAAGAGTGAAGAGAGAATCAGGGATTTTGTCCCTTGCTGTCAAGTTCGATTTTGAACTATGGATTCTCCCGTGATTTACTGATGATGGATATTCTATTGCTCACTTCATGTAACGTGTAGCGCTGGGAAAATAGATCATATTGTTTGAAAAATTATAGACCAAATCGGATCGCACAGTTTGATCCGGATCGTGGACCACTGAGAAAGGTCTGGTATGTTGACTCCGACATAATTATACATATTTTACCCCCTCGTTTCTCGATCGTTTGACTTGGTAAATCATCTCCCCTTGACCTATTTTACGCTAGAGTGTGATATTTTTGTTACATTTCAGTGCGACATCCCTATTTGTGTTTGATTTTCTTTTTGTGTACGTAGGTTGAATCATGTATCCCAATGGCTTGTCGCCGCTGCTTTTGGTGTTTCTTGGTTTGGCTTTCGTTTGATCTTCTCCCACATTCGCATGCTAGGTTATTATCACGGAGGTTTCGAAACTTGACACGATTTCTGTTCGGCTTAACAGGAAAAAAATTCCCTTGTGGGAGCTGCATTTTAGGGTGTTTGTGCAAGGGCGACGATTGTTACTAATTCTAGATGGGTCTCTTCCAGAACCTA